AGTATTGTGACATTCTTTATATAAATACATATTAATAATTAGTATATTAAGTATGTAACTTAAAAAATTGAGGTCATTATATTAAAATGCTAAAAATGTGTGGTCCGATAGCAGCGTTCCATTTCCAGGGGTTCGGTCCGTGGCTACGCTTCGTTCTCCGTGCATTGGTCCTCAAGGGGTTAAGCTTTCATGCAGCAGTAGAATGGCTAATTTGAGGTCCTGTGGCAGCCTGAAGGTCTAAAACCAAACCTCTTATAGTAGGCTGTTGAGTACGCTGTTTATCAACTGATCTAATGCTTAAAAAGTGGCTGCAAATTCTTAATATGATGCTTTGGGGGATATTCAAGTCTTGGGAGACCTCCATTTGTGTTTGACCTCCCTCAAATCTACCAATTAATTGGCACTTTTGACATTCATTGACATGATGCCTTTGACCCGTAACTACTGAATACTGATCCCTCTCAGAAATCTCAGTCATTCTAAATGACACTATAGACCAAAATTCCAACATGTGTCCATTGTGCACCAACCACATAGTTAATAATTGAATTTGCATTATTTCAGGCACTAACATATGCTCGGAAGCTCAATTTTGTGTTCAGTTGTATTTAATTAACATATGTACAGTATCGGGCACTAGTTGCAACATGAACTTAGAGAGCATATTTTTTCTCTTTATCCTTTAATTTTGATGATAAGTGTAAAACAGAGAATTACAGGACTATTGCAAATTAAAGTTAGTATTTTGCTTTACATTTTTTTATTATTATTTTACATATCCCCCCTTTTTCAAGGAGGAAAAGACTTAGTAATAGAAAAGCCTATTCAGAGAGAAAGTGAAGGAAATATAATATGAAAAATGTAGACCACACAATTTTGAACTTACAATAGTTTGAACATTAATCTTGAGAAGTATATTTTTACAAATAATACAATTTTTAGAGCCTTGTTAATATTTCAGTATTTCAATCCAATCTCAAGAAGCTCTTGTTTTTGGAAAGTACAAATGGTGATTATTATTCTTCCGAAAAAACTCTTGTAACTTTTCTCACAGAATAGCACAAGTATACAAATTTATACACCCAATATTTAGCTTGATTATCATATCAAATATAGGAAATTTATAGCACTAATTTTCACATTTATAAGCAACATTTTAACATCATAAATATTGAAACATTCTTATAGAATTATGATTTCATTCCTCTAAATGCTTATTTTACCCATATGAAAGGCCCCGAAAATTCTTTAAATATAAACATTTCTATTATGTTGGGCATATCCACATTAACTGACATGTTAATTCATCATAGGTTAAAGGGTTGCTTGGCAATAACTTGTGAAGGCCTGCATTCCTCACATAAGGTAACTTGCCTTTGAAAACTGCTCTTAAATATTTCATAATTTAAAAAAATAAATATTCATAAAATAAGAGCTTTCAGCTTTATCTTATATGAGACTGTAAAAGGAACAGGTTATTTATTTATTATAAAATTCATTTATCATAAACTCAAATTATTTTTTCTATTAATTTTGCTTTTTAATTTTATTTATTATCCATATACAAATTTATTATAATTACTCATTAAAAATATTAGAATTTCTTACATTCATTGTAACACTATTCACTATCATAACATTATCAATATTATAACTTAAAACACAATTTTATACCATTTTTCTGTTCTGATTTTCATAATTATTTTATTCATATTTTATAATCATCCAAGTCTAAAAATAATTAGGAAATTTATAATACTAATCTCATTCTCAAAATAAATATATAATAATTTAGGAAAGTTGATAATTCAAGTACCTTCTATAAAAAAGAAGGAACCTGAAGTCATGCTGATGCATTGTATCTGCAAAATGAGGAACTTACAATCATCTGAATTTTAGTATTTCCTTTTCATTTTATTTAATATATATCTGTGTTTACAAATAACTTGCCACACTAATTATGCCTCATCCACAACTTTTATTTTTTTTAATACTGTTGCAGTAAAAAGAGAGCAGCATGGCAACATTTTACATTTGCATCTCTAAATTGCAAGAGAAGTAAAAAGCAAGTCTGTGTTTGGTTTGAAACCTTAGTTCTTAGTGAGGTAGTTTTGATTTCAATATCATTTGATTGAATAATCAATACGGTTCTGGAAATTATTTTTGGCTGGTAGAGGTTTAGTTCACAAAACCATCTATGTCATCGTTGTACAAAAAGTCATATAAAATGACACAATTTACAGAAGCTAAAATGGCACAGCTTAGAGATGTTTATTAAGCACTTATGCAAATTAGTGATACAGACTTCACATTTATTGCATTCAAGAACGAATTACAAAATGAATCTCACATTCAGCGGGTTCTTCAGTTTTCTTAACATTTTTAATGATCACAACAAACTGAAAACACAACACAGATCAGTTGGAAGAGCATTAGTGGAAAGGCAAGTGACAAGGAATACTAGTGTGCTTGCTCTGAGTGTCAGCAGTGCTGCAGTAGCAGAAGAATGAAATGGAACTTACTTTCTAGATATGCATGATATTCTTAGAATAGAAAGGGGAAATATCCAAATTAAAATGAAGAGTTAAGGAATTATTACAAATTAAATTTAGTTTTTTAGATATACGTATTTTTTATTTTGGAGAAGACAGTTTAGGCCATCTAAAATAATATTTGACACATATGAAAAAGAAAATATAAAACTAAAATATTCAAAATGCCAATTGCTGAAGAAAAGATAATTTTCTAGGAAGGGGGATATGTAAGATAAAAATATATAAAGCAAAATTCTAACTTCTTCAGAGCCAAATTATATAAAACAAAATTGTAATGTGCAATAGTCTCATAACTCTTCATTTTAATTTGTGTGCTTTGCCCTTCTGTTTTAAAAAATTGTAATTACTTATAATAACATTTCAAAATTATGAGTTTATATATGACTTTGCCATAATGCTGGTGATGCAGACGATTTTGCAAACTGTATGAGGTATTTCTTCCGCCTTCTTGGTGTGGTGGTCTGCACACTGCGTGCGTATTCCAGAGTTCCGCGGTTTGTTTTGCTGCAAAGGCATTGCTAATTTTTCATCTTGCCTGCTTCCAAAAAAATCCTAATGCCTCTACACTGGTACCAGAACTAAAAGGGTGTTGGATGATGATTCTCCACACCCAGGATTTGGCGATTTTGTTCCCCAAAAAACCCCAGTCACCCTTTAAAAGGAGGAGTATATAAGGTATTTCTCCCACCTTCTTGGCATGCCTTCGTGGTGTGATGATCTGCACGCTGGGCACGTATTCCAGAGGTCCGCGGTTCGATTCCTGGCGAAGGTGTTGCTAATTTTTCATCTTGCCTGCTTCAAAAAAAAAAACTTCTATCTCTACAACTTAAACTCTCAAAGAGCTAATAATAGTTTTAGAGCATTATTAATCAGTCAATCAAATGATATCAAAATCGAAATTTGCTCACTGTGGACTAAAATTTCGTTTCAAACACATTGCATTTGCTTTCCAGCTTTATTGCTACTAGGTGTGCTGTCGCTGCTTCTCTTCTTACTGCAACAATATCTAAAATGTTGAAGTTTTTGAACAGGTGTGTTTATTACATCAAGTTATTTGTAACTGCAAATGCCGATTAAAGTGAAAAGGAATGTTTAAATCCAGCTACGACTGCAACTTACTCATTTTGCATTTGCAACATACCATCATTACTTTAAGTATCACTATAGAATGCTACATCATCTACTTACAGACATTCCAAATTATTGCAGGCATATGTACAAAAATCAAAATTATTTAAAATAAAAACTAAATCATAATTTTCTAAAAGCAATCTATGAGCAAGTTTATAGTCTATGCAGTGAAGCGTGTTTGTGCATTTTAAATTATGTTGAGTTTAGAAGGATGGAATTATTTAATTCTGTTGGTATAAGTTAGATTTATTTTATAATAGGATATTTTATCATGAAAAGATATTATGAGGGCAATCCCAAAAAAAAGGTCTCCTATTTTTGGGGGACGTAGAGAAAGTTTTAATACGGTTGTTGGCAACACTGTTGTGCGTGGTGCTTTCTCCACTACCACATAAGCACGCAGGCGCTTTGCTCGGATGCTCCGTCTTGGCTTGGCAGCCATTCGAAATAGAGCTCCCGATAAACGTTACCGCCAAGTGCAAAGTGCGCGCAGTTATTCGATTTTTGAATGCAAAAGGCGTTAAACTGGTTGAAATTCACCGCCTATTGACGGAAGTGTATGGACAGTCGTGCATGGATGTCAAAAAAGTTCGCAAGTGGTGTAGAGAGTTTACAGCCAGTCGTACTGAAATTCATAACGAAGAAAGGAGTGGGAGGCCGTCAATTGCCGATGAGACAATCACGAAAGTTAAGAAACTTGTGCGTAAAGTTCGGAGGATCACTCTGGATGCTGTCTGCATTTTGGTTCCTGAGGTTTTCAGAAGCACCATGCACAGGATTTTAACGGAAAAGTTGCAATATCGGAAGGTGTGTGCAAGATGGGTGCCGCGTATGTTGACAGAAGACCACAAACAGTAACGGGTTTATTCTTCCCGCGAATTTCTTCGCCGCTATGGAGACGAAAAGGACAACTTCTTGGACTTCTTGGAAAGATGAGGGTCAACACTTCCTGAAGGGCATGGCGGCAAGCTGGTATGACATGGGCATTGTAAAACTGCCACAGCGTCTACAAAAATGCATCGATTGAAATGGCGATTATGTTGAAAAATAAAGCATTCTTCAATCTTTAAAGAGATGTAACAATTATAGAAAATAAATGTTTCTTTGTATATCTAAAAATATAGGAGACCTTTTTTTTTTTTTTAGGATTGCACTCGTAAGTATTAAAGGTAAAAGTCATTTTACACATACATCAAATTACAGTGCTTAATTTTTATTCTAACATCTAAGTTTATTGTAATGGTAGTGAAAAATGTTGTTATTATAATAATGATTTTGTATTTTGTGTGTATATTTTTAAGTCTTCTTTTACAGATATTGGGGAAGTGATGATGAGGAGCCATTGAAAGTGTTTAAACAATCAGAAAATTTAAGTGCTGATACTGAGCCTTTGAGAAAAAAAAGAAAACAAGAATCTACTGATTATTTACAAGGAAAAAATGATGGTGAGAATAACATTTTAAAAAAGAAAGATATTGAAGAAATTTATTTAGAATCCAGTAATTCATCAGATGTAGAACTGCTTGAAACAAAAATTTTAACACAGAAAAAAAACACAGAAAAAAGCAGTGAAAAAGAACATAAAAAGCCAAAGAAAAAACTAAATGTGGAAAATGCAATTCAGCCAAGTATCGATGAGTTTGATTCTAATCCACGAGATTTATCAGGGAACTTTTGTAAAATAGGTCAAATAAAGAATAAAAAAATTGAAAAAACACAACGAACTTTACCAGAATGGTTAAACAATCCAACATTTATTAGCAGAGATTTGCAAGAAGAAAAGTCTCTTATTTCTGAAATAACGTATTTAGATGCTGTAATTAAAAAAAATTTAGAAAAGGCTGGTATTCAGTATCTTTTTCCTGTCCAGCTTGCAGTAATTCCATGGCTAATGCAGTGCAATCAACAGTGTCTTTACATTCGCCCATGTGATTTATGTGTTTCTGCTCCCACAGGTAGCGGCAAAACACTTGCATTTGTTCTTCCTATTGTTCAGTGTTTGAAAGATAGAATTGTGTGTGCTATAAGGGCAGTTATAGTTTTACCTGTTAGTGAATTAGCTATTCAAGTCTATAAAGTGTTTGAAACATTTGTGAAAGGTACAGATCTAAAAGTCATTCTTCTCACTGGTCACAAGTCTTTTCTTGCTGAACAAAATGCACTTGTTAAAAAAGGAAATCGTGGATTCAGAAGTCTTGTTGATATAGTAGTCACTACTCCAGGCAGAATTCTTGATCATATTCATAGGACTAAGGGCTTTTGTCTTAAGAGTTTACGTTATTTGGTAATAGATGAAGCAGATCGTATGATGGATGATATACAACAAGGTTGGTTAAAACAAGTAGAAGATTCTGTGTATAAAGAAAGCCTTTCTCCTTCATGTGTTTGTTTTGATTTTAGTAACAAACGGATGTCCACTCCTCCATCCACAGCTTGTGGCTTTGGATACATTATGCAGCCAATGCAGAAGCTGCTATATTCTGCAACTCTTTCTCATGATCCAGAAAAATTACATACACTTTCTTTGCATAAGCCAAAATTATTTACAGCTGCATTACCATCTGAAGCAGAAAATGGGTGGATTGGTAAATGTCCTATACCTGATGAACTACGTATGTTTGAAATTATCTGTGAGGATGCAACAAAACCCATGGTTCTCTGTCATATTATTAAACAGAAAGCATTTAGAAAAGTATTGTGTTTTACTGAGACAGTAGAACGTGCACAACGATTGCATGTAATACTTGCTGAAATGGGTCTGTTGCAAGTACGTGAAATTTCCTCATATAATCGACCAATACAGCGTAAAATTGTTCTAGAGCATTTTGTTTCTGGGAAAGTAAACATTTTGGTATGTTCAGATTTAGTTGCAAGAGGAATTGATATTGAAGATATAGACTGCGTAGTTTCATATGATGTACCTACATTTGTTAAGACATATATCCACCGAATAGGTAGGACTGCTAGAGCAGGTAAGAAAGGTACAGCAATAACTTTGTTATCTGAAGCTGAGATTACATGTTTCAGAAAAATGTTGAAAACTGCAGAAATACCAACTCCTGAAAGAGAACATGTTGACTCTCAAGACCTTACCACATATGTTCCTTTATATCAGAAAGCTCTAAAAATAGCTGATGTAAAAATCAAGTAAGTCTCTTAATATATTTAAATTTATTTATTCATTTTAATACTTTATTTACCTTGCCTTAAACACACCTTTCGTCTTTTATGTATGTTGTTGTGTATGATATAATGGCTATCAGAACCTGATTGATTCATACACCTATAGGTTCCAGATAAACCATAGAAATTTGTGACTAGTATCATTTCAGAATAAATGCATTTAAAAATCTGTATGCGTCTAAGTCCTCTCTTCTTAAAGTGCACATACTATCTACATGTATTCATCAGCGATATATTCCTATAGTAGTTGATAGTCATTGAATATGAGAGGATCTTAGGCTTCATGTAATTAAATAATTCATTCCAGAGTGAGGAAGATTATTATTTTCATAACAATATAGTACTGGCTGCTTATTAAAATCACTTCTATTCCAAACAGATTTGAGTTATTAAGCGGCTGAGCCTAATAAGTGGTGATTTTTGTATTGCAAACCATGATATCTGTTTTAAACTTCTCTAGTAAAATAATAACTAACAACTAAATCCAATAACTAATCCTAAAATAACAGTTAAAAGTTAATGCTGAAACTAAACTGTTTATGCAGTTTTGAAATTTATTTTTTATAACATACTTGATGAAATTAACTTTTACATTGTTCTAAACATGTCCGTTCCTTTTGCTCATCATCAGTTTTTCAGTTGTATTCTCAATTTTGTAAAACTGTTGCTGGTAGCTTTTCTGGTCAGTAACTTTCATTCAAAAGTTTTTATTAGAATTTGCAATGCTTTTCTAGATTCGATTAATGCTGGTATGTCATCATATTTTTCTGTACTTCTCTCATTATCAGTTTCTACTCACATTTTCTCAGTTCACACATATTCTAAAAATGAGTCTTCCATCGCCGAAATATTTTAGTTGTAGCTTGCAGTTCTTCTGAGGCTTCTATATAAAAGCAAAATTTGGAAAACATTCTTATCTATGTTTTTAGGTATTAATCCCCAGCATTGATTATAGAATGCATAATTTTTAGCACATATATTGACTTGCTCATCTTCTTTGCTCATTTTTGAAAGATTCAGTTCTGTTTATTATTTTCTATATATCATTTCTGTAATGAAATTTGCGAGCTTTAATAACATCCTGTAAGAACATGTATTCGCAGGAAAAGACACTGTTTTCCAAAAAAGGATCAGATATGTATGTGCTTCACTGTTTTCCAAAAAAGGATCAGATGTTTGTGTGCTTAACAGTTATCTAATTAACAAAGCTGTTCGACGTCTCATAAAAAAAAAAACTGCTTGGTCATTCATGAGTAATTGTTCTTTTATAAAGTTAGAGGTAAATTTTTTAAGTAAATTACACTATGATTGATGAAATTCACAATTTAAATGCAATTTTTCACTAGCTGCCCTTACCAAAAACATAAAGATCTTTCAACAATTTATCTTTTTTTTTCAGGCTTAAGTCTTTTCACATAGGCATTTTCAACGTGTTACAATTAAGTGCGAAATAAATTTTAAAAATGGTCCTTTTAAGGATGTAAGCAATTTCAAAAATCACGTTTCTAGCCAGCAGAAAGATTATATTTAATCTGTTAACTTGGTTTGTTTGTTACTTCATGATTACAGACCCTTTTTTTTCAGGACTTTTGTTTTCCTTCAGCCTATAGTTATCACTGCTTTTCAATTCAAAGACTGTTAAGATACAGTAATGCTAAGAAGCAGTTCATGAACTGTTTTTAAGATATCTCTGTGAACATAATCTGTATATTCCAAAGGGAAGATTTTGAATTTTGTGAACCTTCAAAGATTGACTGCAAAAATTTTACTTATTATTATCAGTTGGCATTCGAGAAAGAAGATATTAATTTAAAAGAATGTCCTTGTTTTTATTAACCTTAAAGTAAGAAAATTTTTTCTCTCTGAGCTGGAATGTAAAAAGGAACTCTGAAAAAAAAAAAAAAGTCCTACATTTAGTTACAGGTGCAGGAGTGTAGAAAAATTTTGGACAAATCCATTTTAATAAAGCACTACATTATTAAGCAATAAATAAGCCAGGTTTAAGGTCATAGTTTCCTGTACTTGCCCAATCAGAACTAAATTTGTGCAAAATTATATGCATCTTCCATGTGTTTGCATCTTGTTTATTATTCCATGTGTTTGCATGTATCTATTTATAATCATTCATGTATAAGGTGCATCCCTGATTTTCACGTACTTTCTTGTGACAAATGTGCAGCTTGTACATGTAAGATAGAGTAAGGTTATTTTTAGAGTGTAATTCCATTTGCTGTAAGTTGTCAAAATAAATGGCTATAGGAATCTTCATACAGAATAGCACCTGTTGAGAAATGCATTGAAAAAATGTAAATTTTTTAAATAGAATATGTGTATAGTAGTAAATGTTTCCTAATATAATATAGCTTTAATAAACATAATACAGTACAAAGTCTGAGACCCTGACTTGTCGGGACTGCACGAATTTTGGATTTGGGATTTTTCCGGATATTAGATCTAGTAAAGATGGCATATAGAAATTATAAAATTAAAAAGTATGAAATCGTGACTTATGAAATAACGAAGCATTTATGATCTAAAGGGTTACAAAATATACAAAACGAAGCATAATATTTATTTGTTTACTTTATTAAACATTTCTTTCACTGTAAGTTATTTAAGTTGCTTTTTTTGTGCTAATATTTTCTCTCTAATTCTCTAGACAGATATAATTTCTTATTGTTACAAAGTTCAACTGTTTAAGTCCTGCAATTGCTGTGTCAATCAAATTTTTTTGTTTTCAAAAACCTCTCTCACTTTTCTTCAATGTCGATAAAGGTGTTTTCTGGATCTAGAACCATGCTGCAGATTTCATCATCCGTTAATTGATTCATGATTGGGGTTTCATTGCAATAAAAAATTTCTGTTACATCATCTTCATTTATTACTGCATGTACATTTCTTTACGAAAACCATTAATTGGAAAAATTCACTTTTGCTTTGCGATATCGGAAAACCTTCGAATTCTCGGCTATCATCTTCATCATCTTACTACGAAATATGGTAGCTGGCCATAAATTATGCCAAGCACTTTTTAAAGCATCTGGAGACACATCCTCCCATGGTCTAGCGATGCTCCACACAGCAGGTTTTATGCTAAAATATTCTTGAATAGTCTTGCCATTATTGAAGAAATTTAACATGAATTTTAAAAATGCTACTTTATGTTTGCATTTCAGCACATGCACTATTCTAATATCCATAAGCTGAATGATGGACGTACAGTTTGGAGAAAAGAATAATACGGATGCATTATCTTTCACCAAAACGTAATTGAAGTGTGAGCCGAACAGTTATCTATACATTCAGGGCATTTTTGTGTCATTAGGTAATCCAACTGAATTCAAATGTTGCCGAGCCTCGGGTGGAGATGGATTACAAACAAATCATTCATTAATGCTTGTGTCATTCATGTTATTTTATTTGCACAATATATAACGAAGAAAATCTGTACTCCTTTAAATGCTATAGGTCGTGTATTTTTTCCAATTATACAGAATTTACACTTGTGTGTTCCTGTAGCATTTGCGCATGCTAAAATTGTTGGTCTTGCTTTGGAAGCTTTAGCGGCGTTCACACTGGGACATATCGGAGCTAATGAACACATCCGACGCAATCAACACAGCCGATCAGCTAGAAAAAACCAGTTTTTTGTCACTACGAACCCAGTTGAAAAAGCTGAACTTCATGCAAAACGGAGCTAATCGACACATGAAACCAACTAATCAGGAGAGTATTTCAAATCATCATCAGCAACAGAAGCATGCTAAGTTCAATAAACAACATGGCTGACGACATGAGCAAAGATTGTAGTCTAATTGCCAAAATTTAGTGACATTCCGTTATATGGGATAATCGACTTAGAGACTATAAAAATAAATTTAAAAAAGAATGCGCTTGGATGATGATTGCGGATTGTTTCCATTGGAATGGTAAGTAATTTTCTTTTCTCTACATTTTTGTGTTTCGATTTTGAATCCGGAGTATTAATTGAATTACTGATATCAGTGATCTCAGATAATATATCTAATTGTATTACACAGTTGCCAACTCTCCCAATTTAGGCAGGAGACTCCTGATTTTTAACCGCTCTCCCGCCAACCCGATTTACAATATATTTCTCCCGACTTTTTCTTATTCTTAAAATATCTCACGATTTTCATTGAACTTGGCTTAATACTTCGTTATATGGAGAGAAAAAAAGTGATTTTGGACGTGTGAAAGCAATTGAATTTTCTCTAGATTATATCTAAAACAAAACCTTGCAAATCAGATGAGAATTTCTGCTTTGTGAGTGAGAGCATACGTATCCAGAAACGCCGTTCTCCCAATGAGCATCGAGCTCCACTGCATGTCATCTGGCGTATATTAGCCAATGAACACAAAGCAAGCTCAAGGCTGTTATTTGGATGTTCTTTAATTATTTTGTTCATCTTGTTCTGAGTTGTGTGAGTACACGTGCCTTCAGGAAATAGTTTTAGAAATTATCATCTCTTTTGGCTATGTCTGCGAGAAAGGTGAAATACTCCCGTACGTTTCAAAAATAGTACACAGTTGACTTTCCTTCCATTATTTCCTCAAGGAAATGTAATAAATTTGCGATGTGTACCGTCTGTCATTGCAATTTTTCGATTTCGCATGGTGGAAGGGTGGATGTTCTCAATCATGTGTGTACAGAAAAACACAAGGGCAACGGGAGTTGTTTTGAAAAAAATGAAAAATTAAATTTTTCTTCGGAAACAAAGGACCAAAAAGTTATTAATGCAGAATGTCTGTTCTCTGCCTTTTTACTGGCGCACAACCGCCGCTGAATGCATAGGATCACGCTGCAGCTTTATTTAGAAAAATGTTTTTCAATAGTAAAATCGCTAAGAAATACTCAATAACAAGGACCAAAACAGGTGCAATTGTTAAAGAAATGGGTTTGAAAAATAAATCTTCAGTTATTAATTGCATTAAAATAGCTC